GGGGACTGACGGTGGCAGCGACTGTGGTGGCGACCGTCACGTCTGAGAGACCTTGCCTCCTCGGCGCTTCCTCGGGTCGCCTTCAGGCCCGTTACGACGGAGAGGTCCTTCTCTGGTGTACAAGTGATTCGTCTTTGATATAGGCCAGGTTTATCTAGACGATAAAATTTCATTTCAGTTGTGTATAGTTGGGATTTATATCCAGTTATAATTCTGCGTCTTTTGCATAATGTGATATGTCAACGTTCTTTCAAACACTTGCGGAAACCTTAGATGGTAACCTAACAGACTGGCCATCGGGAGAGTCGGGACTTAAACGCCGCGGCTTTCTGGCTAGCACTTAGCATGTGGGACCGGACAGCTTTGATCCCAATCGACAGACTCTCCACCCCCCCCCACAGAGCGGAGCAAGGCAACAAAACTTAAAATAAGAAGCAGCATTTTACGGCGTGAGGGGGTTTCCCGACATGTCGTTTCAGTAAATTAAAGGGTGTTTCATGTTGTTGTTGCTGTGGACCTTCTTAATACCTTGGAAAATGCCGTTTAATACTTTTTAATAGCCTTAATTTTCGCTAATTTGATTTATCAACTTTTAATAATTTTTAAGACCCCGTGGACACCCTGTATTGGTTAAGTGGTCCTTGGTATGAAAATGTTTGAGAAACACTGCGCTAGTGGATTGTCAATGGGGGGGAGCCTCGCTGCGGGGAAATTATACCGATGGCTAGTCCGCCCCTGAAAAATGTCTATGCAGACGTTATTATTAATAACAATTAAAAAAAATTGTTATACATTTATTTTTCAATTTTTATTTTGTAATCATCTCGCGACCCCCACTCGGGGTCTTGCGACCCCCACTTTGGGAACCCCTGCTCTAGGAGGAGATTCAGGTGATAAGGTGGGGGGTGTTACCTGGGTTGGTGATTGGCTGATGGTTACACAAGCCTAAAAAACGTTATGACATCATAAAGTGGCCAACATCTGATCAGCTCATTTTCAGACAGGTTTTTATATAAATGGATCAGGACAAAAAGAGAGAATCTTTTTTTCTGAAACTTTACGAATCTCTTTACAGAGGGGACACGTGTGTATGTATAAAATACATGAAAACGTGGATTTTGCATAATAGGTGAGCTTTACGTTTACTACTCCATGTAAGGTACATTATATTGATACAAATATTGGCTCTCTTGCAGTCATGCAAAATTGTTGCCTTGACCTAAATCAGTAAAATTAGCAGTGAGTATTCCCATTCACTTGGCAGTGTGTGACATATCGACCCAAACACACTCTTCTCTCTTAGTCGTACTAAGGAATGGCTGAGTTCCTGTAGGCCTTCATGCAACTACGTCCCGTAATGATTAACTAGCGTTCGAGGAAATGTCCATAACTGTGAACTGTGCTGCTGAGCTTTACAGTGCAGTTAATCATTAGACCAACACTGCATAACACCCCCACTGCTGAGACATGAGAACAAAACAACACCTTTAACCCAACAGACCTACAAACAAACATCACATAATGAAATGTTTTCTAAAGTTTTGAGCAATTTCTCACACAAATGTGTTAAAACACATTAGTTTGATATAAGTAATGCATTGTATAATGACTTTTTTTTTCCCGCTTATTGTTGTTAATATACTGGAAATTATAACTAAAAATAGATGACCTGCAGATAAAGAAAAGGAGCCCTGTTCAGCCCTCAACCCCTCACCTGGTCGGCCTCCTGGCTGCTCCTCAGTGTACAGCTCTTCCTCCTCTCTGATGGAACATTGATCTCTGCAGCGTGGCCCCCCCTCCAAACATCCCCTTGAGGGCCCCGGCCACTAGAGAGAGATACGAGTGTTTCCCTTTGTGTGTTTCTGATCATGAAAACATTCAGGTGGTCTAAACATGATGTTATGCAATAGCTGATTTTTCCTAACCATGTAATTTATATTTCGTCATACTTTTTCTATCAAACTATATTTAACGAGTCCTGTTGGTATTATCATTAAACCTCTATGCATTATTAGCTACTGTTTACTATAGGATAATATAGATAAGTTATATTATTATTTGCTAAAGTGGTATTGTACTTTCATAAAAAAAATGTAAATAATTGAGGCAAAGATCAGACCACAGTCTACTTACCCTGGACATGGACTTTTGGCCCCGTTCTTTTTCTTGTGTCCCTGAGCATACAGTTCTAGATCTGAGAGGAAAAATCGAAAGAAACAATTGTGAATCACATTTTTTAACAATGACAAAATTAAAGATATAGAATATATTAACTGATGCTTGAGGACATAGAAAATGATAAGTCATATGAGAATCATTAGCTCTTGTAAAAAGAGAACCCAATCAAACCTTTACATAGTCAAGTCATACCATACTTGTGGTCAATGCTGTAGATACATATTTCACATTTACTTAAAAAGAAATGCGTGTGATTGGTAAGGAAAAATATGTACACTTTCTAATTAAGTCACAGAAGTCCTTTTCAAACATATTCTTTTTATTTCTGATAGGACATTACTATTAGTAGGCAAAAACTCCTGAAACTGTCTTTTCCCATCAGTGTGGTATCGATTTACTGTTATAGCTTCTGCCAGAGCACATTTCTTTTTAAATGTACATGTCAAATGTGTTTGTTTCTCTATTACACAATTGCGTTAAGGTTAAATGAAAGTGCTTGTTTAAAACACACACACACACACACACACACACACACACACACACACACACACACACACACACACACACACACACACACACACACACACACACACACACACACACACACACCACTAATAATTGCAGTATGAGGCAGGTCAGGACTGTGGTTACTGCTGCTGAGCTGAACTCCAGCACGTGATCGGGCAAATATAGCCATGAAACATGAGGATTTGAACCAGCCTTCCCAAATGAGCTCCAAAAATAAACGCTAGTTAGCTTTTCATGTTTACTGTGTAGCCGTAGCCCGACTGCAGCCCTGGTTATTGGGCTGTTCCTTTGTATGTCACTGATTATACATGCTCCTATGCATTTCTTTTGTCCTCTTTGCTAATCTCTGCAGCCCGCTTCAACTCTCCGCAGAAAATAAACATTTGTCTGAAAACATCACTGTGGGAAATGACTGAAATATTTAAATAAAGAAATAAAAAAAGTTGCTCCCACCTTCCTCCTGACTGGAGGCATCAGAACAGTCTCCTTGGTAGGCCTTACCCAACTGGCAGTTACCTATGAATACAAAGATACATTGGTAAAAATATGAAAATCACATACATGTAGCATTACAAAAATGACTTTGCTTTAGTTGAACTCAGTAACAGGTTTCCAACAGGAAAAAGTGCCTGGGCACAAACTAAGAACTATTAAGATACAATGGATGCAAGATGATTTAATAATATTGCAGAAATAAATAAAAAATACAGAAACCCCAAAACCTTTCCGTGCCTTTGTTTCATATATTTGATTGTAATAAAAGGCATAATACTAAAGTAATGTCCTTGTTGGCAATTCTAAAATGTGTTTATATTTATTCAACTGAAAGAAACAAAAATAAAATTGAGGATCATATGAGTTAACATGGTATCCTTGTGAGGAGACTCCTTAAATCTGCTGCAAAAAGCACAATGTTAAGAAGGAGAGCTGTTTTCTTAAGCCCATTTTTCTCCTGCCACGACTCAACTCGCGCTCTCTTGGTTTTCCATTGTAAAAACTAGAGGAATATACCAGGTACTTCCTGTGGAAGTTCCAAGCAACGTGTACTGAATATTAAAGCAATTTAAAACATGACAAACTACTGACTAAGTTGTTATTTAAAAAATGTCAAATAGCAAAATCATGCTTTGGTCAGCTTGGTCTGGAATGCAGTTAAAAGTGCAGTTTCACGCACATCCTTATCAGCTAAGAATCCCGCCTATATTAACTAGGTACTATCGGCAGTGAAAATACTTTATCTCAAAACGTGCCAAGGACCAAAATGGAGTCGTGATCCCGCACTCATCATTTTTCTTCCTTCGTACCGGAGGTTAGTTGTCTCAAAGTGTCAAGCGTTAGCCTATGTATTTATTAACCTCGAATGCCCATGTTTGTACTATTGTTTTTGAAATGTTTTTAGATGTGACTGAGCAGGGTGTACTTTCATTAGAGGTGTGTCCATATTGTTTTCAGAATGTGTGTCAAGATGGATCTCTTGTCTTTTTATCTGCAAACTAAATCTACCTATGACTTTCTAATAAATAACCATGAGAACGGCAACAGAAGGCATTCGTCTCATACTCACATCTGCAGCAGCTCGGTTTTGTAGAGTAACTGGAGTCACAGTTGAAGAAGCTGCACACCTTCCTGGTCTGTCTGAAGACTGGAGGCGCAGACAGGAACTTTTCCCTGAAGGCAGGCACAGGGGAAGAGACACCTATCGTTAGGTTTTTCTCAGGAGACGTTTAACATGATGCAGCAAAACATCTACAAGCAGCTGAGCAAAGGTATACTCAAATCCTACACCCACTTATGTAGCATTATCAAAAATGTTTTATGTGTTTCCTTTAAACATGCATCTCCTTGTTACTGGAAGAAATGTCACTATCTGAGACTTAAGGCCCATTTGAGGATAAAATAAAAACATTTTTTTTTTTAAACATAAGAAGATGACAAATACATATTTTCAGAGTTTGAGTTTTGTCTGGCTTTGCTCAATCCAAAAGACGTACCTGAAATGACAAATAAGTGCTTATGAAAATAAAGTTGCGCACATGTAGAAGTGTCTTGTACTGCCAGCATTACGGTATTTAAATGAATAAAGCAAAAAGCTTCCCGTGGAAAAAGAGGGGTGGAGGGCTGGGCTACTGATGAAAGGCTTGAGTTCCTGCTGATAAGTTTCACTTTCCACTGAGCCACTTCACAGAAAATGAAACTGATGGACACAAACGTGTTTGTCCACTAGTTCAGTGTGTGTGTGCGCGTGTGTGCGTGTGAAGTCTCTGGACTTGCACATGCTGTTCTTCAACAAGTGAGCTATTATGAACCTCACTAAAGTAACGCAATAGAGAAATGCAGATACATTTTTTCAAACTGCATTGCCTTATTCACAATTCAAAAATAAATATGCCTCACATTTCATCAGGTTAGTCATCTGAAAAACACTAACGGCAAATGTATATATTTTCAGAAGTCGCAGCAATTCCCCCCTTATTTGACAAATTGAGTTTATATCTGGGTTTAATGTACCTGAGGTTGTTCTCCACCTCTCTGCTCACGTTCCGCTCCCCCTGGCTCAGAAGTCTCAGGATGCTTTTCTCAAAAGACTCAGTACTCTGATCCTTAGGGAGCTGCTGGGAGAAAACAATGCAGGATAAACAAGGAGTGTGTGTTGGGCTACAAGTTACAGTGAAGGCAACAGTAGCAGCATGGAAAGAAAATGACATCATCATATCTGAAATGTATCTAAAGAAAAGACAATTATGACATTAAAAATAATATTAAATAAAATGTGACATCTTAAAAAGTGACATAAATCCTATACAATGTTTGTAAGTGAAAAGTGACATTATTTGATCAAGTTGGCATTAAATAAAAATTACAACAATGTCATAAAAACAGTAAGTTTAATTTATATTAAATAAACTGTTATATGTATGATACAAGTTCTGATGGGTTGGGTTACTTTTGTTTAATTTCTTTATTGATAACATTTACATTATGTATTTATAGATATGTTCATTTAATATTTATTCTATATATATATATATATATATATATATATATATATATATATATAACTATCTTGGAACTGCTTGTGTAACATAATAAGCAGCATAAACCCTGAATATACCCGAAGTATAACTAAGTGTGTTCTGTTGAAAAATAAATGTATTTACTCTTCTCTGTTTGGCATAAAGGTCGTAGGGTACTGAATTTGTGAAAAATGACCAAAATGGATACCTTAAGAAGGAAATTCTCCAGTTCCAGATGGGTTTTGGTCACACTACTAGAAGAAGAGTCTGACCACTTCACCTGGAACACATCAGAGGACACTCTCTATCACAACACTGCAAAGGAAATAGGGCTATGCATGCTAGCACTACACAGTACAGCCGAGTACACACCGAAGTACAAACAGACAGTGTTACACCATATTGATTTAAGGGATCTATTTTAAGGGTCATGAATAAACTGAAATGTAAGACAACCGACATACAACACCCAAACCAAAATGGCTCTAATTTTAAAACACAAACAAAACAAAAAAAGTGCTAAGGGAAAAAATACAGAGCAGGTCGACTCCCAACCCAAGTCTACACAAACATGTGTCCTAATCTCCCTCTATAATCACAGATAGAGCAATAGTTACACCCATTCCTAATGTGCTGTTATGCAATGATTGAGATATAAACCTGTACTTTCCCACAAATATTCTCATTTATTTGGGACTTTCTATTCTGGTTTTCTACAAAAAGCATGTTAATCAATAATGTATCACACAAATGATGCCACTATGACTCAATATATGAAACAACTGTAGGAATGCATTAGTGTCTATCCATTAAAACCAGACTCATTCATAATAAAGATGAGTGAGATGAGGCAGGCTGTATTTATAACAAAGATATGCTAAGGCATAACGTTTGCTATTGAAACTGGAATGGTTTTGCCAATGGATTGTGTTAATGTTTATGTACAAGAAATGGTAAGTGTCAGATTGGCCTTGAATTAAGTTGGTAATTAGAATTTGTACTAAAAAAGCTTGACAAGACGATCCCTATAGCACCACGGAACAGTATTATTATCTATAGATGATCTATACAGTTATTATACTACATGATGAAAAGACACATGCTTTATTAAGGTCTCTGGTGCATTATGAATACATGTGTTACTATGTGTATCATTGTGTGTCTGTCCAGCACAAACAGATGGTGTGAGGAGGACGCTCTCTGTTGTGAGTGCTGTTGGCTTGACTGCCGCAGCTCAGTCAGGCCAACAGGATAGACTCTCCATCTGTCATAATGATTTATTTTTCCTTTAATTGAGCAATAAATACTCCCATGAGTTCATGTGAATCTGCATTTGGATGGCATTCATTCTTGAATGAACAGGCTCATTAGCAGCGATGAGCTGCCTCGCTAGAGATTAAGAGTTTGGGATTAGTTTGATGCAAGGGGCAATTGCGAGAGAAATTACTAGAGATTTACCTCACTTTCTGGCACTGGGCACCATAGGATGCCAGAGGAAAAGAGTAGCAGACCACTTTCGGATAGCAAAAACCAGCATAACAAGGATATTCATTGTGAGATAAATGTGGAAAATGGTGTTGGCCTCAATGAACTGAGAGCACACATAAGTGTCACAGTCTTGTTGCAAACGTAAGATTACATGGTTAATACAGTACAACACTAAAACAATTCCACCAGATGTATTAACCTGAAGCAGTGCGGTGTGTGTATGCAGTGTTGTTACTTACCTCAAAGTTGTATTCCTTGTCTATTCTGGTGCGAGTGATGCCCCTGAGCACAATTCCCTCTATATGCACTGCTGCAAAACAGAGAGGAGGAACAAACCATTATAAATCACTGACTCCGGCGAGTTCACTAGGAGAGCAATACGTTGGAGTAATGTAGCTATTAGGCCTTCAAAAATATCGACTTTACAAACACAATAGACCTCTACAGTTATCATTTACTACAGCTCCATCAGTACTTTCTAGGCGCCCCGACAATTTACCTCTTGCGCGATTTAAAAAATACTGAAAAGGTGAAGGGGCTGTATAATTTATATAGCAATTGCTGCTATAGAAGAAAATCATACAAATCATTACAGGGACAAATAAAGAGAAAATACTGAAAAAACGAAATGAATGTAATGTAAAAATTCAGGCTAGCGTAACAGAATTCGCGGCTTCATTGAAGTAACCTCAGCGTTTGGCAGGTATGTGTTCCCATTACATTACTGCTTTGTCAAATGATTATTATCACCTTCTCTTTGTGTTGCCCAGCGGCTGGAGCGACGGCTCTGGCAGGGAGGATGGGCTGCAGTACAATCCCCCAAACCCAGCGCTGGGGAAGGCAGGTAATCCGTCTTCTGACTCGTCAGCTCCTGGAGACAGAAATACACTGAGTTAGTATCTGGCTCTTACTGGTTTGTTACCATTTTAACCTTCAGTTACAGCATGACTAGTTATAAATGCATCTCTAAGGCTCCATATTTAGATTGCATAAAAAACAACCACCAAGATGAACCAGTTATTTGTTTTCCAGAGTTATACAATGTTATGTTTAAGTATAATTATGTGACATTTCAATCAAGAAGCCCCTGTTAGGTTAGTTTATTCACGACAAAGATGAAACAACAGGTGATATGTTCGGTTTACAAAGAGTAGTCCTGGTTTACACATGGACTATGATAAAATAGGTCAACATTAAAATATATTATTAAAAAAAAGACAACAGCTGAGTTACACCATTATTGTTTACAGTCAGAAGGCAAGTAATCTAAAATAAAAATGTCTAACCATCCTTTAATTCACTGTTTCCCCTCCCTCGATCTTGTACCACATTGACAGCGCCACAGTGCAGAAACAGTACGGCACACTAAAAATGGCATATGTGATTAAGGGCAGCTCATCTTCACATGACTCACCATGATGTCAACCTCATGGATTCATCTAGAACAGAGACAGACCTGAAATATTGTACCAACTACATGCATGTTTAGATGTATGGTCACTGTGATAGGCCAGCATTAAACAAAAGTAGGGGAAAAGTGTTGCATGAGAGCTTTTTTTTCAGTTAATAGCTACATTTAAAATCAACTTTTCAATCATGTTTTCTGTTAGGAATATGACCAACTGCAATAGATACTGATCACCAATATTTCCCAGTTGGTTAAAGTATCCCTAATGTAAACTGGCATATGAAGAAATGTATCACCGTAAGGTGGAAAGACACTCCTACAAGTTCAAATTAAATTCAGGTTGACTCTAAAGGGTGCGGTTACTTGTGCTGGTTGGAAGCTCTGACACTTGAGTCTGCTGCAGAACAGCTTTGCATTCCTAACATGAATTCAGATTAGGGAAATTAATTTTCCGTGTTGATGTGCACAATGCACATACATTTCACAAATGCCAAAACAACTTTTGTTAGAGAATTTCCCTGGGCTCTCAGTACAGTAATTATGTGACGATATTTGTGTGTTTTAAAAGACTTGAGACCAAAACTATTATGTGTCTATCCACTGAGTAATAACCCCGACCTGAGGAGAGGAACAGGTATTTCTGGGAATGAAGTAGGGCTGAACGATTAATCGAATTTAAATCGAAATCGCGATTTTAAATTATGTAATTATCAAATCGCAAATCCTGCGAAAACCTCTTTTTTTTTTCTTGTGTGTCAGTCATCCACACTAATCAGAAGTGCTGTGCTCCACATGTACCAGACATTGTTAACCAATCAGAAGTGGCCCATGATAGAAGGTGATAGACAGATTGATCCAATCACCTGTCAAGTCTTTTTGAAATACTTTTCCAAATGGCTTCCAATGGAGCTTTCCTAGATGGTTTGGTGAAACAAACCATCTGAGTCAGGTTAGTAATGCTCCATCACATGTTTTACATCTATTACAGGGTGAATCTTAAACTGAAGCTTGACCTTAAAGCAACCCAACGGAAGTTTCATGTAAGTTTAGTTCTTTCACTTGTAGCTCGGGCTGCGAGGGTGCTAGAGACGGTTGATATGACCTTCCTAGCTGGAGATATGGCCGCATTTTACAATAAACTTCTGTTGGGTCGCTTAAAAATATATATTTCGCAAATCGCAATCGCAATATCTGTCAGAAAAATCGCAATTACATTATTTCCCCAAATTGTGCAGCCCTAGAATGAAGCAGTTAATTAGTTGGGAACTACGTGGAATAAGAGCCTGGTAGCTTTTGGACCTCCATGGACAATGGTTTAAGACTGATAGAGGAAAGAAGAGATTGGCGAGAGGAGACTAAAATAGGACAAGTGCTTAAGGGAGAAATACCAGAGCTAAACAGTAACAGTTTTCGGGCTGGCATAAGAAACCATTTCAGGAAATTAGCAACCAACTCTTAGCTCAAACATAACTTACATTTCTATTGCTTATTTGAGTTGAATTTTCTGGCTTCTGTAAATGACAATCAATGCTATTAACTAAACCCAGACTCAAGGGGCCTCATCCACAAATACGGTGTACATAATATCATTTTAAGGCCCCAATTAAATCTAGAAGATGGACTGTTGTGGAAAGCAGTAGTTACATATGAGTTAAGAAATGGAGGTCATATTTTCCAATAAATTACTTTTCTTTACCATTTGTTTGGAATGACAACATCCAGTGTCATAGAGCACGTGGTTAAAAAGCCACAAGTGAATCAGTACTTTATCAAACTCCGACTGCAGCAGTTACAGCGTCAGCATTCTAGACTCTAGAGTTGCAGACTGGTGAATGGATACAATACTTCGAGAACCGAGATTAGCATTTAATGGATGTAGCATTAATGAGGGCAACGCTTGGCTCCAAGTAAGCTTGTTAATGACTTTCTCTGCACAGAGTTTTTACACACAGGACGGTAGCTAAATCACAGAATAAAGATGCAATATATAACATGGGGGTCATTGAAATATCCCCCAAACAGTGGAAACCACCTGCCGCACGCCAGTTGCTGGCAGATTAACCGACCAACATTAGCTTGTTAGCTAACTCTGTTTAGCATGAGTGACCTGTCCTGTCTTGGACGACAGACCATGGTAGGAAAGGGAAGCACTTGGTACACTTGGACAATATGTATCGGAGTGCATTCATCAATTAACACTTTTAGACTGGCATGCTATAGACATCTTTCTTAAGAACACAAGTTGTACTTGAGTATTTGTTCACCTAGCTTAGCATTTAACGGTGCTAGTGTTTTTTAAATTACCGTTATCTGGGCGTTTATTCTTAGCTGACTTTGACGTCTCTGCTCCTCCGCTATGGCAAGCTCTATTTTGTCAAGCTGGTCCCGGACAATCTCCCGTTGGTGGAAGTGGAACGCTGGATGGAGAGAGGCCATGGCAAAAAGCAGCGCCAACTGCTCCAGAGGTCCTGCCGCTGGTTCATTAGTGGAGAAGCCGCAGGTCTCCTCTGACCGCCCGTACATATTCCCGTCCTGACACGGTGGATGGAACGAGTGGTGGTTAGGGTCGGAGAATGAAGGGAGGGAGTAGTCATAATTTTTGTAGAACAGGGCCGGATCTACATGGCTCAGTATCCGAAAGAGTATTCCAGCGCATTCCCTGCTGTCAGACCCGAGGAGGGAAATGCAGACTAGGAGTTTGGACCTAACGACTGGATCTATAACGTCTGTTAAAACTCCTAAGTCGCTTGGACTATTAGCACGAAACTCAAAGTCTCTTAAAACATGATAGTCTTTTTTTGCAAGATCCTCTAAGTAAGATCCCAAAAAGCGGAGCTCCAGGGGTTGGCACATATGTAGCAGTCCGCACATGAACTCGATCCGCTTAGCAGGGTTAAGATGTAGGCCAAACCACTCAAAAACAGTCTCCTTGTCCAGCTGGAATGGATACACACTAGGTCTGGGTGAATCATCCAGATGGCCGGACACCGAAGAAGGAGGTACCGCCCTGGGAATATGTTGATGCTCCGATAGATCCAATGAATCGTCCTCGGCAGTTTCGTCGCCTCCTTCCTCGCCCGTTTTCATCGGTAGCTTCATTTTCAGCATTATCAGCGCAGCGAGAGAGGCTTCAAACTGTAAATAACGGACCAATATACATAACGGACGACTTACGACGTTTTGTAATGCAGAAAAGAGAGGTGGACTGTCAGTCTTTCAACAGTGTTTTTACTATTCGCTAATCATCTGACGCGGCGATAGTACTGTAGCTTTTTCCAACGTTACATTCTTCTTCTAATGCTCATTTCCGGTAGTACTGCTATGTACCGTAAGCACGTTGCTGCCACCTCAAGGCTGTTAGCGGACTTGTTCTGAAGGCTGTATGAATACAATTCTGAATGTTGTGAACATTTTTAGTGAATGCAGATTGGCAAAAAATAAACAAAAAACAAATATATGTCTTCATCCAGAAGTAATGAAGGACTTGTCATTTGATATTGACTTGAGTGTAGGGAAATTCAAACAGCACATACATATGTTTGCTTCTTGTATTTTTAAAGTTAATAGTGAAAAGAGTAAAAAAAGACTGGGCGAACATATTGATTTACCGAGCCAACACCGCCCTCTAGAGGAAAAATGGAACCCTTACAAATAAAAGGACAGCAGAATGGGTAAATGTGGCTGCTTGACACTACAGCTTCATGTCCTCTGGGTAGATTTATAGGTGAGTGAAAACGGCTACTGGAGTGCTTGTAGTCTGGATCTGATTGGGCAAAGAACACAATTTCCTGAAGCTCGACAAAAAAAGAGTCAGATATAAAGAGGAAAAGGCACATGGTGCAGATAAAAACACACTTGAACTGATCCCGTGGAAAGTAAATAAGCTGTTATAAACCAGTATAAGCTGGAATAAACAAGTTGTCTTTTGCTTATTGATTCTGTCTAACACTGTAACTCCTTTTATTAATTGCTAAAAGAGGCAGCCTTTTTAAACACTCCTCATAAGCAAAGTAATACATGTTTAATCTATTCTTGTCAACTAATATTTGCACCAATCCAGAGCTTTCTTTTATTCATTTCAGCTGAATTCCTGCATGAAAAACATTCCTCCTCGCTTATTACAGCTTTCTCTGCGTGTTGACCAGCCTGATGTGGTCGGTTTGGTTAGGAAGGGAAGGCACATATTTAGAAAAACAAAATTCTTTGCTAGGTTTTTGCCTTCTTTCTTTTATTTATTTATTTACAGAGCTCAGGGCAGTCCCTGGCAAGAGTAACACTTTAAACTACCACTGAGGCAAAAGGAAGCCCTGATCATAAGGCTCTCTGAGACAAACTTAACTGTGCTGCTCCAACAGGGGGCAACAGCAGTTCAGAGTTCTTTATCCTTTTATGAACACATGTCAGTGAGTATAGGCAACTGGATTGTAGTGAAAACTGTACTTATTTGAGGTACTTTAACTTAACATGATGATTTCGATTTTATGCTACTCAATACTTCAAGTTCAGAGGACATACAGTTCTTTTCACAGTTGTTATGATGCATTGTTATAAAGTATTCAACAGTATGGACAATAGTTTCAAACTAGCTCAACTTCAACCAACTAAAATAGTTAAATATTACAGACACATTAATGCATCACTAATAATCTTATACTCTTATTGCATAACTAGTCATGGTGTAACTTTTGATGTAGGCTACCTTATGCTGGTAGTTTACTTTTAGTATGTTTTAGTGTTTTAGTAATATGGCTTTTTAAATGTTGCGTAGTGCTATTTTTTGTCTGAATACTTCCTTCACGAAAGGTTTTTGAAGTGTTGGCTTTTATGCAACGCATTTCTTTATTATGCAGGAAAAGGACAATTTATTTGTTCATGCATAACTGAGTTTAATAGCGATGATTTGTAACAAGCCAGGATGTTTTTCATTTCTTCAAAGCTTGCTCTAGAGCAGTGGTTCTCAAACCTTTTCTGTCAGGCCCCCCCTTTGGAGAAAAAAAAAAGTCGGCCCCCCCAAAACGAATAATCAGGCTCAGTGGCGGTGCCAGAGATTCTATTTTGGGGGTGCTGTGGGGTAGCTTGACGTTTCATAGAGGGTGCTCAAACATTTAGGGTTTCCCATTAATGTTCCGGTCGCTACAGTGGAATTTTCTACTGCAACACTCCCCACGCAAATACACAACGTACCCGCAACTGTTACAATGACGGCTCGATAATCAGCTCACGGCATATAGGTGTAAGCAGGGGTCAAGTGCTATTTTTATAGGTGATGTGTGGACGTCACATAGGGGGGTCCGGGGGCAAGCTTCCCCTGGAAGATTTATTTTTAAATATTGAAGTTAAAAGCATCAATCTGGTGCACTTTGAGAGCAAAATGAAGAGATCTATGGAACTGTCTCAGAAAATTAGAATATTGTGATAAAGTTCTTTATTTTCTGTAATGCAATTAAAAAAACAAAAATGTCATACATTCTGGATTCATTACAAATCAACTGAAATATTGCAAGCCTTTTATTATTTTAATANATATCCGTTAGCGTAGCTCGCTAGCACCAGAAGCTAAAAACAACGATCTCCAGTACCGGTGTGCTCTCTCTCTCTCTCGCGCACACAAAATGGCTCGTTCCACACACACACACAGAGCCGAGCTTTAATGAAAACAGAGACCCAGACGTAATAGTACTGTACTGCATCATATTATTTTCGAATCAATAATTTTTCAAATTATGATTTTTATTTTATTTTTTATTTTTATCTTTTATTTTATTTTTTTATAACCATTTTTCTTCCTGGTCTCTCGCGCCCCCCCCTGGCATGCCTCTGCGCCCACCAGGGGGGGCGCGCCCCCCACTTTGAGAACCACTGAGCTAGTGCAACAGTGTGTTTTCGCTGATTTGACTTGAATCGTTTTTAGACAACAACAAAGTTCTGTGCCACGGTGGAAGAAGATACATCCAGCTTTGATAAACACACTTTTTGTGTACATCCATTGTTTATTTTGGTCTTCACATGATATGTGTTTACAATAACAAAAATGCATCACCCAAGTTATTGTTGTGCCCTCCTCGAATTTTCAACCTTTCGACACCTTCGTGGCAAAAATGTACACGCCCATAATAACTGCTATTAAATCATCATACATCAACATTTTTTTCAAAAAAATGTTGATGTATGATGATTTAATAGCAGTTATTATGGGCGTGTACATTTTTGCCACGAAGGTGTCGAAAGGTTGAAAATTCGAGGAGGGCACANAATAACCACCAAAGTTCCATCCCTCTACTAATTATTATATTGAAAATAATTCATTTTTTGTGTTTTTTTGTCATAAATAGTGAGATAATTCAAATAATGAAACAGGCATTTAAAGGGTTAAAATCCTGAAAATTATTGAATGTTTGGTAGTTTTGAGCATGTTAGAAG